CCACAGCACTTTACCGAGGGTGACATGGTGAGACTCTGTCTCAAAAAAAAAAAAAAGTATCAATTCCTCAACGGGAAGCTAAGAAAAGAAAAAAAAAAAGAAAGAAAGAAAAAGTAACAATATAAAGTCTCAAAAATTAAACCCATGTGGAACTTTCACATGAATAATCAGACAGGCTCAGTCCCTGTAGTTCAGTGATTAGGGTACAGGCCACAAATACCGGGTATGTGGGGTTCGAACCCGGCCTAAGCCTGCTAAAAACAAAAATGACAACAATAACAACATAGCCCGGTGTTGTGGTGAGTACCTATAGTCCCAGCTACCTGGGAAACTGAGGCAAGAGAATTGCTTAAGCGCAAGAGAATTGCTTAATCCCAAGAGTTTGAGGTTGCTGTGAGCTGTGACGCCACAGCACTCTACTAAGGGAGACACAGTGAGACTCTGTCTCAAAAAATAATAATAATAATAACAATAATAATCAGACAAATCACTGGAACAGGACAGTCCAAAAGTCCAGAAATATATCTAAAATACACAAGAAATTAATAATATGATGAAAATGACCCCCCAAATCAATAGAGACAAATGCATTATTTATTAGTTGGGACAACCTAATAGTCATATGGGAGAAATGTTAGTTAGATCATACTTTGCTTATTTGGGACCAAGTTCAATTTCCTAGTGAAGCAAAGACTGAAATATAAAAAACAAAAATACAAAAGTTCTAAGTGATCTTCCTAATGATGACACAAAACCTAGGAACCATAAAAGGAAAGTTGTATAATTTTGACACTTAAAATATGTTCTATGACAAAAATAACCTTCAGCAAAGTCAAAAGACAAATGACAAGTAGGAAACTCCTTTTATAAGTTAATTTTCTGATTTCTAAAGAGCTTCTGCAGAACTGTGAAGGAAAAGACCGGTAGCACAACAGAGAAATGGGTGAAGCACACAGACAACTCAAGAAAAAGCAACACAAATGGCTACATATATGAAAAGGCACCAAACTTCGTTTGTGACATGAGAAATACAGATTTAAAATACTCACATGCTACTTTTTACCTATCAGATTTGCAAATATTAAAACATTTGATAGCATAATCTATCAGTGAGAGACTTTAGGGAATCAGGTATGCTCATGAAGTGAAGGTGGGAATATATTAATAAATTGGGACAACCTGTACAGAGTGTGGTATAGTAACAGCTACCAAAAACTACAAAAAATAAAATGCACACATTCTTTTTCCTTGCAATTCCATTTCTTAGCTACACTTGTACATAGCAAAACAAAAAAAATTGCTGCAGATTAAAGAGCAAAACATTAAAAAACAACTTAAAAGTCTTTCATAGGATACTGGTTAAACAATTATGATATTGGTTGGGCACCATGGCTCACACCTATAATCTTAGTACTCTGGGAGGCCAAGACAGGTGGATTGCTTGAACACACAAGTTCGAGACTGCCTGAGCAAAAATAAGACCCCCCTCTACTAAAAATAGAAAAATTAGCTGGACATAGTGGCCAGGCCTGTAGTACCAGCTACTCAGGAGGCTGAGGCAAGAGGTTTGCTCAAACCCAAGGGTTTGAGGTTGCTGTGAGCTATGATACCATGGTACTCAATCCCAAGGCTACAGAGTGAGATTCTGTTTCCAAAAAAAAAAATTATGATATAGTCATACAATGCAATAGTAGGTAGTTAGTAAAAAAAAAAGAACAGGCTTAGCGCCTGTAGCTCAAGCAGCTAAGGTGCCAGCCATATACAACGGAGCTGGCAGGTTTGAATCCAGCCTGGGTCTGCCAAACAATAATGACAACTACAACCAAAAAATAGCCAGGTGTTGAGGCGGATGCCTATAATCCCACCTATTTGGAAGGCTGAGGCAAGAGAATCACTTAAGCCCAAGAGTTTGAGGTTGCTGTGAGCTGTGACTCCATGGCACTCTATCCAGGGAGACAGCTTGAGACTCTGTCTCAAAAAAAACAAGTAAACTATATACTGGTGTGTGTGTGTGTGCATAGACATATCACTGAGACAGACTGCAAAGGAAATAAAGTGTATAAAGAGTATGCATTCAGGTTAAATAAGAGGAAAAAACTAAATTTGCATTTGCTTGTTCAATATCCTTGAAAAGACACAGAAGAAATTGCTAACAGCCATTGCCTATGGGGAGGAGCAGTGGGTGAGGAGGAGCAGTGGGTGACTAGGAGCATGACTGGGAGGATTCTTACTGTATATTTTTACTTTTTTTTTTTTTTGAGACAGAGCCTCAAGCTGTCCCCCTGGGTAGAGTGCTGTGGAATCACAGCTCACAGCAATCTCCAACTCCTGGGCTCAAGCGAGTCTCCTGCCTCAGTCTCCAAGTGGCTGGGACCACAGGTGCCTGCCACAATGCCTGGCTATTTTTTGGTTGCAGCCATCATTGCTGTTTGGCGGGCCCGGGCTAGATTCGAACCCCGCCAGCTCAGGTGTATGTGGCTGGCGCCTTAGCCACTTGAGCCACAGGCGCTGAGCATATTTTTACATTTTTAAAGTTTTTGAATGGTGAATGTATTATCTATTTTAGATGATAGTAAGAGAAACAAAATAACATAGTAACAAAACTAAATCATTTTAAGTAAAGTATGGCCAATAAGATCTGGGACAGAAATCTAGAGATAAATAAGCAAACTTGGATTTCAAAGAGGGGAAAGGTAGACTGCAGTTGATTTCCAGCAGAATTAAAGAATAGATTATTGGATATGTGGGCTTATAAACACTTAGAAAGAAATGAATGATTGCTACTAAAGTTTCACTAAGAAGATGACATGAAAAATTAACCTTACTTTCCTTGTCTGATAAAGAGACCAAGACTGGTATGTCAGGAAATGCTACAGACAGAGAATATCTTAATTATTTTAAGGCATCTGACAAACACTTAAATACCCTACAGATAAGACAGAAACAGGGTAGACTTTAGATGAGAAAAACCAAGCCCAAGATTCTAATTCATGAACCAAAATTAACAGAAAGGAAGTCCATAGTAACATACCACAAGGCTTGGTGCAATGTCCTAATTCACCATTTTTGCTAACAATCTGAAAGAAGTCAGATAAAGCACTTTTTCTTTCTTTCTTTTTTTTTTTGAGACAGAGTCTCACTTTGTCATCCTCAGTAGAGTGCCGTGACATCATAACTTACAGCAACCTCAAACTCTCGGGCTCAAGTGATTCTCTTGCTTCACTCTCCTCTCCTAAGTAGCTGAGAATACAGGCACCCACCACAATGCCTGGCCATTTTTAGAGACAGAGTTTCACTCTTGCTCAGGCTGCTTTTGAACTCTCGACAGTTCTGCCCATCTTCCTTTTTAACTTTGAGGGGGCCAGAACCGACTTGAAAACTCTAGATGTAAGCTGTCTCGTATGTAGTACATTAATGCTTTGGACAGTATCAGCTCAGTCAATCCACCCATCTCCACCTCTCACAGTGCTAGGATTATAGGTGTGAGCCACCAAGCCCAGCAGGAGAAAGCATTATCAAACTAGTAGACGATGCAAGATTGAGAGAGAAGGATTAAATCTAAGTTCAAATAATTTTTTTTTTTTTTTTGAGACAGAACCTCAAGGTATCCCCTGGGTAGAGTGTTGTGGCATCACAACTCACAGCAACCTCCAACTCCTGGGCTCAAGCAAGTCTCCTGCCTCAGCCTCCCAAGTAGCTGGGACCACAGACGCCTGCCACAATGCCTGGCCATTTTTTGGTTGCAGCCGTCATTGTTGTTTTGGCGGGTCCAGGCTGGATTCGAACCCGCCACCTTAGGTGTATGTGGCTGGCGCCTTAGCCACTTGAGCCACAGGCGCCGCGCCAGTTCAAATAAATATTGAGAGGAAATTGACATTAAGATAAAATTTAACAGAAACAAATACAAACTTGCTTTGGTCTTTAAAATATTTAAGCTATACAAGTAAGTACCGGATAGCTGAATCCTGGTTTAATAACAATTATCAAGGAATTTTAAGTAACCAAAAACTCAATAGTGGCTTCTGAAAAAGTTGCTGAAATCATAGGCTGAACTAATACTGTCCAAAGCATTACTGTACTACATATGAGACAGCTTACATCTAGTTTTCTAGTTGGTCTGGCCCCATCAAAGTTAAAAGGGAAGATGGGCAGAACTATCAAGAATTTGGAAACCAGATCTGTAAAAGGAATCTAAGGAAGGTTTGCCTAAAAAGAAAGATTTAAAAGGAAATGGCAGTTATCTCCACTGATCTTCCAATAGTTGGAAGACTACCACTGGACTTGCTCTACGGAGATAGAATTAGGACCAAGGAGAGAAATTAATAGCAAGGGAAATGGTGGCTCAGAACAAGAACATTTTAACAGAAATTTAGCTGTGATGGTGAGGTCATCTTGGCAGACAGTGTGGTCTACTACCAAAGGTATTCAAGCAGAGGCCGAACTACTATTCTTAGGAATCTGTAAGAAAGGGTCCTTCATTAGATAGAAAAGTGAAATGTCTAAACAATGTGATTCCAATAGAACTGGGACAAGGGATTGCAGACTTCTTTAGAAACAAGGAAATTGAATTGTTAGACAGACATATCTATAAATCAGGTTATCAACCACACCACTCACTTCAGTCCCTTCAGCTCTGGACTAATCAATGAGTTTAATGAACATCATTACAGTCTTTCTTTTTATTTTGAGACAGAGCCTCAAGCTGTCACCCTGGGTAGAGTGCCATAGTATCACAGCTCACAGCAACCTCCAACTCTTGGGCTCAAGCGAGTCTCCTGCCTCTGCCTCCCAAGTAGCTGGGACTACAGGTGCCCACCACAATGCCTGGCTATTTTTTGGTTGCAGCCATCATTGTTGTTTGGTGGGCCCGGGCTGGATTTGAACCCGCCAGCTCAGGTGTATGTGGCTGGCGCCTTAGCCACTTGAGCCACAGATGCCAAGACCAGTCTTTCTTGAAGGCTCTCAATTCCTATACTCCCTTCTCTTTCTCCTCCTCTCAGTTTCCCCTGAACTTTTAGCTTTTGGCCAATGAACTATTAGTCCACAAACTCTTCAAGGCAGAGACATCTTTTTTGTGTGTCTCCCTCAGTTGTTTGCTCCTCAGGGTGGGCACGGAAGACTTGTTTGCTGGATCACTTAACTGAAAGTTATAGAAGATATACAGAAATGGCATGTGGCTATCAACTGCTCAACAAGATGACGAAAAATCCAGAGCAATACTATGTAAATTTTTGAGTTCTGGCTCACCATTAAATATAAGCCTTCCACTAGTACCCCCGTACTACATAGGCTTACCATTACTGATTTCTGGGAGATCAAACTTAGTGAAGTCCCACCACTGGAGCCGGTAGGTTGTATTGGCAATGTTACTGGCCACAGCAGACTGTCCATCACCGATCACGGCCCCTGGCAAATGAGAAGACAAAGGGAGCACATCATATTACTTATCTACATGTTTCCATTGCAGAACAAAAAATAATACTGGGATTAGTAAGAGAGGGAGAAGAGGAAGAATCCCATCTGGCAAGTCTTTGTCTCAAAGAGAAACCAGGCATGTTTCTCAGGGAACAATGCTGCATGGAAATATAATCTTATTCATCAGCCCCTCTCATTATTACTTTACATTTATTTAGTGCCAACAGTGAGGCAAGTAGGTGTGCATATACACTCTTCCAGTAGGCTCACAATGTAAAGAGACAGATGAGTTTTCATAAAAATGTGGGAAAATAAAAGTGAAAAATGGGAGGATACAATTAACACAGAAAAGTCAGTAGCATTTCAGTCCCTGGATGTCTTGGCAGTAAGTAGTGCTTTCTGAGAGAAAACTCCTTCATATATGACCTTCTTCTTAATAAAACATTTCAAAAGCAGGCTTCCCCCCGAGATGAGGTAGCTAGCATATCACTGATTGGATAGAGAGAGACAGTAAAGAACAAATGAGGTAATATTTGTTAATCTCTTCTGGCCCCCCTGGCATGTAACACAGCAGAGATTTATGAGCCTAGCTTTGCAGCATCAGAATACTTTTATTGAGGCAATCTTTTATAATTCCCCACCACCACCAAGGACTTCCTTGAATCCAGATTCACTTGTAACATCTCACAGTTTAACTTTCCCCGAGATATACACTTCTGTGTGACATTTTTTCTTGGGAGCCAATTAAATAAAAAATGATTTTTTTTAACAGGGTGACACTTTAATTTGCAGTTGTATTTCATTTACATGAACATGTCATTTCCTCCTCCTCCTCCTGAGGTGCATTTCATACACAACCACCCTTTTCATCAGACAGTCAAACACTCTTGAGAGAATAGAACATTCTTGTATGCCAGATAACCTAAATGGTACTCTCTGCTGAAAGTCAACTCTTACTTTGAGAAACTGAACTTGTTAGAGCTTAGCAGCCTTGGAACAGTGGACAATTTTATATCCATTTACACTTTAGTACTGCCTAGTCTTCCTCCTCTGCACATCACTGCAAAAGTGTCTTGTGAACTGCATTTTTTGTTTTCTTTATACAGAGTTGCTTTTATTGCTCTGCTAGTCCTGGATTTCCTTATTCTGTCTTCAAATGAGCAAGAGATTCTTCAGGGAGAAAATGTCCTCCACAGAAGCCATAAAATACAGGGGGGAAAGTACTCTTTTCACTCTTTCCCAGTTGCTATTGTCCACTGCATCAGAAGACTTTTTCAACATTAGTTTATGGACAGTCCTTGTCTTTGGCCCAATTTCAATTTCTAAGGAAAAGTACAAATAAAAGTCATTTCAAAGATGGTGATAGGGCTGGTGGCTCATCCCTGTAATCCTAGCACTCTGGGAGGCCAAGGAGGGCGGATTCCCTGAGCTCAGGAGTTTGAGACCAGCCTTAGCAAGAGCGAGACCCCATCTCTTTTTTTTTTTTTTTT